TGCTTTTCTGTATAGGTTACCTAAAGAAGAAACCCCAGCTGCGAAGAAGGACTAGTGGAGCCACCGCACCCAATGACCCCCCGCTGGTAGGTTTGGTATTTTTGGTGATTTTTCGGCCAAATGAGACCCCCTAACATGTTTTTCTATAGGGGTACGTGTAAAACTGGCCAGACCAAGGTGAACCGCTGCTGTGGGCGGCGGAGCTGGCACCGCAGCACGGCGGCGGCGGCGTGTTGGAACCCTAAAATTGGCCAGAAAGAGTTTTGGGCACTGATTTTGGATTTTTTTGTTATTTTTAGATATGTGACGAGTGTTTTGGATTATGCAGAAAAAATTCAAGAAACCCGATACTCGTTAGGAGGCGTAGTAGATAGTGTGACGTCTCAAAATTGATCCAGGTAAGGATCCTTGACCATATTGCCTGTTACGGTAAATTAAGGCTTAACGATGTATAATTTTGTATTTTTGTGAAAAGTTAAAAAATTCTAAAAATAATTACAGGTCACTAGTGGAGTCAGAACCAGTTAGTTCATAATTGCCCTGATGTCCTATTTGTTTTTCTGTACTGTCTTACTTACTTGTTATCGTATTGTGCACATTCTTAATTTATAGTTTCAATGGTTTTATCGATTTATCTGGTTTATTTGGTTATCTTGTTACTCGATCCCTTATTATGATAAGTTACATCATCTGCATAAATGTAGTCTAATTGATTTGTAAATATAATATGGGATATTGGTATACGTTTGTTAGTTATTTTGTTTGATGGGAATCTTTATGTGAAAGACTTACTAGGTACCTAGGGAAAGGGTAGATAGGCCTGGTACATAGGGAGCCTTACCGTGAACATCACCTCAGTCGGATGGGGCTAGAAAGTTCCATACTAGAAAAGTTTGGGAGATATACTTCACCTTTATACTGGACGGGGTATCAAGGCGATGGAATATTTGGCGCCTATTACCAGACGAGGTATGGGGACGGCCGGTTAATTGTTAAAATTGATATTGGGTTCACGAGTAGAGGGACATCTCTATGAACTCTCAGGGGTACTATAAACAAGTAAGAAGAGAAAATTATCGTCACTTGTTCTCTTATGTGTGAAAATGAAAAGTAGTATGGATATGGGTCTTCATAGGTTGCTTTTAAAAAACTCGTAATGGTATGTATCAAACAAACATCTTTATGTTAAATGTATTTAATTAAAACAAGGGTTCTATTAGTTGTTTTTCTGATTTTTACCAATCTTCAGTTTTTCATATATGTGATTAGTGTGATATTCTTACTGAGCTAGTGTAGTTCACTCTTTCATTAACCATTTCAGATTAAGAAGACTAAGATTTAGATCTTGATCAGCAAGAGAGTTGTGAATAGTTCACCCCCCGAACTCCCTTCAAGTACTAGTGAAGGTTGTCATAGGATGCTTGTTTATTTATTTATTTATTTTTTAATTACCGTTGTATTTTAGAAGGGACATTTCCATATCCCTATTGGGCATTCTAAATTATTGTGTAAGGAATGTAAATCCTAACTCTATTATTCATTTCTGCATTTAAATTATAAATTTATTTCCTTT